TGTACAGATCAAGAACTTTGCTTTTCGGGCCTCCCCGGTGGCACAAGGGCTTAAGACGCAGCCTATGAAGCTATCTGCAGCCACTGAAGCATGAGTTCGATCCCCGGCCAGGGTGGAGACCCACATGGCGCAGCAGACCTCTCCTGTCTCCCCGCTGCTCCCCTCAGCACTGGATTTCAGTGGACCCGCCTGTTCTGTTCCCCACTCTGTCTCTGATGAATCCTCTCAACCCCCCACACCTCTGGCCTGTACCCCAGTTCTTGTATGCATAAATAAGTAAATCTTAAAAAAAAACCTTTGTTTTTCTTGTCACTCCTGAATAAATGTGAAAGTGATACAAAAATATTAGTACAGTAGAACTATTTAGAGCTGAGTGTGTCTATTTAATTAAATATGAAATATTAATAAAACTCATAGATAGTTATTTCCAATTCACCCTATTTTTGTGAACATTGCTGTGGACAAAGCTACATGATATGTGTAAAGGAAGGAAGAAGGAGTAAAATAGAGTCTACTTTCCCAAGAAGTCTATCAAGAAGTGGGACAGGAGCATGTTGAAATGATCCATAATCTCTTTTGAGGAAAGAGAAAATGCTGTGGCTATTGAAAAAGGCAAGACTGGCAGAAAGGGTGGGGTGCGCTGTGTGATGGAAGTGGTGCGCGAGGAGAGCAGTAGGACAGAGAGGATCTCAGTCCATGAGATCTGGTGGATGACTGGCCAGTATCAAGGAACCAGAGGCATAGGGATAAAACATGCACAGAATCCAGAAAGTCTAGTTTGCTTTTGTCAGTGAGTGTTCCTTCCAAGAAAGCGATGAGGTGACAAGAAGTGGTGATTTGTATGCAAAGATCTTGGCACATGTCATGGTTTTAAAGCTACCGAGTCTCGAGATGGAAGCTGAACTTCAGAGAGGGAGCCATTGTGAGATGGGCTTGTGTGCAAAGAGATTATGTCAGGCTGCTTTGCTTCCTGAAGCAGTGGCCATGAGGCTGTTAAGAAACAGGGGAACCTCAACACTTAGGGTGGGGAGCTGCCAGAGTGGATGGAGAGAGCTACGAAGAGTGGTAGATGATAGCTGCGAGTTTCAGGAAGATATTTATTAAAAACATTTTTTATTAATTTTTTATATTGAAGTTCTGTTGGTTTCCAACACTAAATAGATTAGAGATATAGGATCACAGCTCTCCAGGTGTATCTTCCCACCAAAACACCACCAAAACACCCACTCTCTTCCACCATATTGTTTAGATGCCCAATGGAAATGCTTTAGGGCTGGAGTGATACTAAATTTCTTCTTCATTCCTTTTTTCCCCATCCTTTTAGATTTTTAGAGCTTTTTGTTGCATAATTTTAATTAAAAAATTATTGTTTTTAATTTCTGGATATCTTGTGTGCCGCTTTCCAAATAGAACACATACTTCCCATGAACTTGTTTTCGTTGGGAGTATGTTCTGCTCTGGGTGTTGATAGTGCTTGTTACTTAGCATTTGATTCATTCATGGGCCTTTTGTTTGGAGGCTTAGGTTGAGTAGAATGATTGATATTCACCTTTTTTCTCTCTTTTTACTCTTCACTCTTTGTTTATCCAGCCATTGTAGAAAGTCTTGACATGGTATGTTGACAGTTTTGTTCCCGGGTAGAGTTGTGTCAAGACTCTTCTGGGGTCTGTCCTGTGGTCACTGTGTAAAGGTGACAGGTTGAGAGTAGTTATGACCTTGGTCTCTTCAGCCTGGTTGGTTTGCTCTTGTATTTCAGAGATAGAAGTAAACATGGAATACCAATTTTCCAGCCTGGCTTTTTAAGTGCACAGTTTTAATGGGGATGTTTCTCACACACATATTTCCACCCTTGGCTTTTGCTGGAGTGTATCTTGTCCACTCCTGAACCTTCATTAATGTTTATAGAAAAGTTGGTCAATAGCAAAATTAGTTGATTTTATTAATCTGGAATTTTTTGAAGCAATATCCTGAGTCCTCAGTATCTAACACAGTGATTAGCATAGTGTCTATCGAGTAATTTTTCACTGACCAGAATGAAATCATCCTGGCTGCTATAGGGACATTTGCTTTTTCTTGTTTGTATATAGCTTAGCACTCTATGATCTAGAATTGATGAGAGAGAGAATAGTAAGCATGTTTTTTCTTATCTAAATGTTCTCTTCATGGGTTTTGGTAATAGTATAGACTTTTAGGTCTCGTCAAGTGGTTCTAGCTCCTTGTAAAATAATTTAACAAGAAGGCAAGACCGACAGCATCTGGACAAGGCTTTATTAGACTTAAGCTCGAGCAGGAGGAGGAAGTACTGAGCAGTGTTTCCAGACCGGCTCTTGGAAAAGGCTTTTCACGGAACTTGCCTGCAGGCTGAGGATGGGTGACACCGGCAGTGAGTCTGGGGCTCGGCCTTGCCGGGCCCCCACGGTGGGTCCACGCTTCCTCATCCATCATTTGCCTCCTTAGCATCTTACATCTCTACCCAGGGTTGTGTGTTTTAGCATGTTAATGAGACCTCAGTCCTGTCGGTCAGGGTTTTGACCATCTGCACATGTCGGCCTTCTGCCATCCCCCTCTTGGAGATGGTGAGACTATTTGTAGTTAGGCAATAGCCCTTTATCAGGATATCTGGCGCTTTTTGTCCGAGGTGGTACTACGGTGGCCAGGATGTGGTTGTTAATTGGTCTGGTAAGGTACAGCAAGTGGGATGTTAAAACAAGATGGTATTCAGCTCCTGCCAGCTGTGTTTTAGTCTGTCCAGGCAAGATGCTGGCCGCCCCTCTCCTGCTGCTCGTGATTTAATCCACCTGGGCTACCTGGTCCAGCTGCTTAGAATTTTGGTCAGAATTTCTTGTAGATGCTTTTAATTCTGGAAGGGTCTCTTTAAATGCAGTTTCAGCCTGCTGCTGCCTTTATCATCAATGCTGTCAATACATGTAACAAACTGCTGTGTTGTGGGCCACCCGTAGCATCTCCAGTCTGGAGTGTGTGTGCTTCAGCCATGAGTCCACACAGGTCTGCAATTATCCAAAAAAGGTTGCTCATTACTTATGAGTTTTGCCATTGTCATTTTTCAATGGAAGTGAACTTTTCTGTGCAACTTGGCCACTTAATGGGTGTAAGGTAAATGAGGCTTTTTCTGCCACTGGCCTCTGAGGCTATCACCTGCGGCCTGGATCATGTTAATACAGAAGGCGCTTGGGTGTGGCGCACTTGGCCTGATTGTGGACACCTGAAGCATGGGTGTGTGCATGTGTAAGTGTGCACACCTGATCCCAGAGGTGGGATAAACACTGTGGCAGTGGTGGCAGTGAGAGGATGAGCTGTGTGACACAGAAGAGGTGAAACCAGGAGACGACATGTGAAAGAGAATGCCAGAGAGAGCCCAGAAGAAGAGCAAGGATTTGTGGGGCCTGGGAGGCTTGGTTGCCTGCCGACCTCTTGGTCTCCTGGCCTCCAGGTCCCTCTGCCTGGCCTTCCTTGCCCTTCCTGCTGTTCTCTACGATAGGCTTTCTGGAAATATCACAAGTTGACTTGACCAGTAATGTATTGGAGGTTTATCAGTTTGTAGTTATCAATAATTGAAAGTTCCCAGTGCTAGGTATCTTCTTAAGTAATAACCAATATTTAAACAGCCAAGGCAGGGCTAAGGGAGGTTAGCTCAAGTCTCAATGCAAATGTGCAGGATTCAGACCAGCTTTTGTGAAATGATCAAGAGGAGTCTGGGAGGACAGTTAACAGGCATTCAGACCTTTCCTCCATGCTGCTTGGCAGGACCAGTGTAACACGTGTGACCTTTGCACAGTTTCTACTCCCCTTTTGACAGGTAGCATAATTAGACTTTGTCCTTCATTTCCTCATGACTGTGCTCTCGGAATTACGGAATGTGTAGAGTCTAATAAATTTCCCTAAGCACCTTTTCTTAGTTGTTGCAACTCAACAAAGTTGTTAATAATCATAGTGTACCCCCTAAACAGACTTGAGCACCTTCCCACAGCTCAATATCTGGTGAGTGATAATGCACCTGCTGACCTCGTGGGGCTTGAGTCCTGACTGATATCTCTCGATCAGCTAATTTTAGACTTCAAAGTAAATGCTTGGAAAAACCCTGATGTGTGCATAATTTATTATAAACCTGTGGATTTGTATAAGATTGTCAGTATATAACATCTTAAAAGACATTTGTAAATCCACACATCTAATTTCTGTCTGATTTTAAGTATGAATTATATATGTATGAATTTACATGATAAATGGTTTGAATTGTGAAAATTAATAAACAGAAACTTCATTTAATTGAATCCTGGGGGGACTGCAATAGAGTCCTCTCCCTCGCCCTCAGCAGCACTGAGCAGGCTTCTCTGAACCCATAGGAGGAGCCTCCTGCACAGGAAGTGACCTGCTTTGCTACCCTGGGGAGGGTAGAGGTAGCGGGGAAGCTGCTCCCTGCCCAGCTGCGCCCAGCAAGTGGGAGCGGCCCTGCTGGCAAATGCAATGCCTTGGTCCTTGTCCTTGACCTTGCCCTTGCCCTTGTCCTTGTCCTCATCCTCCTGACTCCACTCCCTCTGGTGGTGGCCCCCTTCTCAACTATCACCAAGAAACTTTCTGGCTCCTGGGAAGCACATGTGCACTTGGAAAACACTGACACGTTCCAAATCGCTCTTTGTTGTTTCTGAATAAACACGTTTTACCATGAAATACTGGCTGCCTGTTTGTCGGAGGTCAGCATCATCAGCACAACTGAACCTCAGGTCACCATGGAGCTGACAGAAAATGTGAACCTGTAGGACAGTTCCCTGGCGAGCTTGACGTGGGAGCATTAGCTCTGCTTTGTAGATTGTTGAAATGTTTGCTTATTGGAGTATTTTATGTTAGATTATAGTAAGAGTTTATATTATACAAGGGATTCGTAACCAGTTGAGATCAATGATTGATAATAGTTGGGAATTTTTGAATTAACCTTGAAGTCACTTATTCTAATTACTGGACTTCCTTTTTTTTATATTTAGGATTTGGAAATATCTCACCTCGCACTGAAGGGGGGAAAATATTCTGTATCATCTATGCCTTACTGGGGATCCCTCTCTTTGGTTTTTTGTTGGCTGGAGTTGGGGACCAACTAGGGACCATATTTGGAAAAGGAATCGCCAAAGTGGAAGATACGTTTATTGTAAGTATGATCGTGGTTTTTTTTTTTTTTTTTTAAATTATATGACTTTTCTGTCACCTCAGGTCCAGTTAGACATTCAGTCTTTAGGGTTTTTCCTCACAATTTGTATGTACCTCTAGCATGTAATTCACTGAATCAAATCTTTTTATGCTCATAAAGGAACGAGAAAACCCAAAAGATAAGCAGAAATGAAACAGAAATATGACAGGTTTGCATTCTAGATCCAGGGTCCTGGCCATGTTCTCTTGCTTTGAATTCCCATTTTATCATCTGTGTAATGTGAATAATGGTACTGGCCATGCACATGACTTTGATGGAGATAAAGCTTAATGTCGGTATCAAATGACTGGCAATATATGTTCATTTAAAAATTTTATTTGGTGCCCTTGATTCTTGCCAGTGGCATAACCTTATATAACCCCTTTGTGGAGGAGACAGTAATGTAATGATTATAATGAAGGTTATTATCTAACTTAACTCTGTCATGCCATTGATAGACATTTATCTAAGGGATGTCATTCAGTAGAACCAAGAATTATATTCTTGGGTGGAGGAAAAAGACAAATACTGGATGATATTGCTTATATGTGGAATGTATACAAGCAAAACAAAGGGTCAGACAGAATCAAACCAGTAATTAATCCTAGAACTCTGATTGTGGAATTGAGGCAACTGGAGGGAGAAGGTGTGGAGTGTGGTATGGAGGGCGTGTGCCCAGAGAACCAGAGTGGACTCTGGGGGCTTTGGTGGTGAGTGGGGTGGGTGACATACATTTGAAGAGTTGGGATCTTATACCTCTGAATCGTGTAGTGTTGTCAACTGGTGTTGTCTCAATAAAAAAGTTTTTGGAGGAATTTTAAGTAAAAATAGTAATAAGAAAATTATGGAAGAAGAAAATGGTTGTATTTGGGTGGAATTATAAATGATATGATACTGTGACCAATACATTTTATTTATTAATATTTTTTTTATTTTTCCACAAAAAATTCAACAAGATATTTTTAAAACTATTGAGGAAATAAAGCTATTGGGTATTGTTTTTCACTTTCAATGGTAATTCCAGTTTTTAGCATTAGTTATGTTTCCTATTTCAGTTCTAAGTTAGTGATCAAATATTTTCACTGTTATAGTAAGTCATAGTTATTCCAGAATAGGAGTTTTATCCATTTTTGGTATTATACTTATATTACTTTTTAAGTGTCCTGTTTTATTATTTATTTATTTAAAATACTTATTTGAGGAAGAACTGGGGTATAGGCCAGGAGTACAGGGGTGAGAAGATTCACGAGAGACAGAGTGGGGAGCAGAACAGGCAGATCTACTGAAATCCACTGCTGAGGGGAGCAGCAGGGATACAGGAGAGGTTGGCTGCGCCATGTGGGTCAGCTCCCTAGTCAGGGATTGAACTCAGGCACTTACAGTGCAGTGATAGTGCTGAGACTCAACCCCTAGGCCACCATGGAGGCCCAAGTGTCCTGTTTTTATATTAATCAAGAGGGCAGCCTAGTGGTCTGACCTTGGTCATGCTGCATCACTCATCCACTCATGCAGCACAGCCTTGGAAGCCTGCTGAGTGCCTGGGAATGTTTTTTGTGCTGATTCTACAATAGCGCGTGTAACAGAGTCCCCTGGGTGATGCCTCTCCAGGGTCATGATTTAATGTTCAGTGCTCAGCGCTGCTTAGAGAACTAACAAGCACGGATTCATGTTACTCTTACATAGGTGAAAAGCATGGTGGACTAGAGAAACTTCATTTTGTCTTTCCCACTCTCTGGTTCAGAGCTCTGTAGCTCTAGGAATTGTCAAGCTCCAAAATGCCCTGACTTTGATGGGTGGGATATGACTGATAATGTTCACAGTCAGAGATTATATGGTGGCCAGCCTGAAATGGACAGCTGGAGATAAACACCTGGACATGTCCACGTCACTTACTCCGGACTCTGCGAAGGTTCCTGGATGGAGGAAAATATGGGCCGTGATACCCCTTAGACATGGGGGTGCTGAAACCACAGAGAGTGCTGAGCCCTGTGTCTCTACCTTCCTTCCTATCTTTTCACACCCATGATAGAAGTTAGTTTATAAATTAGGCACAGTAAGAAATGAACAATAACTACTGATAAAATAGAGCTTTCATAACAATACACTGTAACGGAAGTCATGAGGTGGTCTCTCTTTCTCTGCAAATACCATTGTTATACGTGATATTTCAGACTGAGGTTGACCTCGGATAACTGAAGCCACGGTGTGAAGACTCATCCCTGCTTCATACCCTGTTTGCTGCATTGATTTGCACCCTCTAGGGTCAGAGAACAGAGAGCTCACCCTATCCCACTGGATCAGCTGTGCACTCCCTAAGTGTGACAGTCGGTCAGTGACAGGGAAGTGGATGGGTGTGCGAGGAAGAGTCTCCATGAACTTAATAATTTTATCATTTATCCATAGCAAATACTTAACTCATGGCTCAGCTTTCTTACTTCCATGCATTTCTGGAGTGTGTTTGTACCGCAGTCAGCTGTGTGCCTGTAGAACTGAGATATTTGGAAAGTAGTTCAGGTAGACAAAGAGTGATGTCACCTGAGCTCACAGTCTCAGAAGAGCTGTGACTCCCCTGTGGAGGTCCCTGTACGTGTTGTAAGCTGTGTAAGGGGAGAGCAACGACATTATTAGTACTGGTTGCCTAGAACTGTTTAAGCTTTAGCCAGTTTTTGTAAGCAAGTGAAGATGACGTCAGAAGGGAATGAAATACTACTGTCAGATGCTAATTTGCTGACAGCGGTGTGTAGATTAGCTTTGCAGCGTGCAGATAACCAGAATCAATCTCTCTCTCTCTCTCTCTCTCTCTCTCTCTCTCTCTCTCTCTCTCAGAAGTGGAATGTTAGTCAGACCAAGATCCGCATCATCTCCACCATCATGTTCACCCTGTTTGGCTGTGTGCTCTTCGTGGCCCTACCTGCCGTCATATTCAGGCACATTGAGGGCTGGAGCGCCCTGGATGCCATCTACTTCGTGGTGATCACCTTGACCACCATCGGATTTGGCGACTACGTTGCAGGTGAGTCCTTCGCACGCCTGGCTGCCCCTGACCCATGTCCATAGTTAGACTTTCCACTGGGATTCCCAGTGCAAACTGCTGTTTGTGTGCACGGCCTCGGTTGCCATGGCAATGAGCCGCACACTGGGATGCTTCAGGCAAAAGAATTTCATCCCCTCACAGAAGTTCAGGGTCCGGGGGAACCTGGGGGCTCATGGGCATGGCCTCTATGAACCTCGGGCTGGGGGGTCCTTCCTTCTTCCCGCTCTCTTGAAGCCCACCAGTCCTGGCCTCCTGGGGTACCATGGCGCCTTCCATCCCTGCTTGGTCCTCACATGGTCTTGTCCTGGCCCAGATTTTCCTCTGATGGTCTCAGTGGATTCAAAGCCCGCCTACCTGTGGCCTGAATTCACCTGCCCTGAGTCTATCTGTGTGGGGGGGCCTATTTGCAAGCAGGGCCCCATATGAGGTGCTGGAGGTCAGGCTTCAACACACCTTTTTGGGGAGACACAGTTTAGCCCATAACAGAGGCAAAAAAGTGATTCCTTGACAGTGGGGTAAGCAGAAGGGCACAGCTGATCATTTGCTCTCACTCTGGAGGAAAGTTAAATGGCTGCTTCAGAATTTTGTCGCCTCCCCATGATTCTGAAATGAAATACCTTCTCCCTCTCTTTCCCCCCACCCACCCCAGGGGCACAAGATTCAAGTTTAACTTCTCAGGGCTCTTTATTTAAGTCTTTTCATGGGTGAGTTTTAAAAACACCTGTGCACTCAGAAGATGGTTTCTGAGATAATCATTTCATTTAATTTTCTATTCTCCGGGTAGTATTTTTGACCTTAGTTAAAGTGTCCACATTTTTTAATCATTATTTAATTTCTTTTCTGTGTGTAACCTCCCTTGCTTTATTGTTCTATTTCTTGGATTTTACGTTCCTGACATCTCAGCTTTCTTTCCTAGTTCTACCATGCAATTATCATTATTTCCTAATTATAACTCTAAATGAATTATAATGGTGGCAAAAATTAGTGCTCAGGCTGTGTCAGGGATGGTTTTCACTACTTCCCAAAAAGATAAATACTTTCTTTTAAACCCAGTGTGAAAAAAAAATAAGTAATTAAAAAATTTACTTGGAAGCATTAGAAAAACATGTTAAATATTATAGTAGGAAAATGCTATTAAGCTAACCTACTGGCCTTGTTTCATGTTTGGAGAGTTTTATGCTTTCTCCCTGTCTACTGTTACTTCTTGACCCAAACTTCTTACTTAACTATTCTCAGAAAAGAAACTGCATTGTACAGCTTTATAAAATCTCAGAGAAGACTGGTAATGCATCTGCTTCTACTCATTTGTTAATTATGGTCTAACCTGACAAAACCCTTCTTTCTGGGGAGTCAGATCCTTGAAGATGATGGGGTTTGCATGAGCGATGTTTTTCTTTGGGTCAGAAATACTGTGCATACATCTCTCTGCTGGATAGAGACCCAGCGGAAGGAGAATGTACCCCTTTGATGGGATTAATTAGCAACATGCACAGAGAAGACTCCCAGACATTTGAGTTCCATATGAGAAGACTGGCTTGTGTCCTGAAACCCCCAACTTCCTAGCTTTTTTGTCTTTGGACGAAGTGTAAGTGCATAAAGGTAGGAGGCGGTGAGGCCCAGTCGTGATGAGGAATGACACTCATGGTGCGTCCATGACCAGCTCTTGTGCCACTTTATAGATGGAATTTGTGAGTCTCACCTTAACTGTAGAGTATGTGGGCACAAGGTCACAAATCTTCTATTCTCAGGTGCCAAGTCTTGTATTGCATGTGTTAACTTGTCTTTTATTTTAAATTTACTTTCAGGGGCATAATTGACAAAATTACAAGTTATTTAAGTGTCTTGACATACCTGTACATTCTGAGACTATCCTGCACCTGGTAAATTAACACAACCAGAGCCTCACTGATTAATTTGTTTATTAATTTATTGGTGAGAACACTTAAGTTTCACTGTCTCAGCGAATGTCAGTGTTAGAACCCAGCCCATGTGTAAATAATTGACAGGCACTGTCTGTGTGGCAAGTGACTTTCAAAGTCTGAGACTTAAAAAAAGACAGAAATTATAAATAAAAAAATGAGGGTGGGATCCTAAAATAATGTTGTATTTGTGACCACAGTCTAAATAGCCTTAGACTAAAAGAACAAATATTTGTACTTCATGGTTTGGTAGAAGATGAGAAAAAACATTTTTTTAACCTGTCTTGAAGAGATCAACTCCCTGAAACTGGTGCCATGGCATAGAGTCCAGTTCCCAGGAATGTGGGGACCCTGAGTCAGGAGCCCAGGCATAGCTTTGTAGGGACAGATGGTCTCATAAACATCTTCATTATTACCAGGATGATATTGTATTGTTCCCCTCTTTAAAGCCATTGTTTTATTTATGTGCAGAGGTAATAATAAAAATGGCAGAGATTTATCTTGCTAATAATTAGCAAAAGGAGGGCCTCCCTGGTGGCCTAGGGGTGGCCTAGTCTCAGCACGATCGCCGGCCAGGTTGCTACCCACATGGCGCAGCAGACCTCTGCTGTCTCCCCCCTGCTCCCCTCAGCAGTGTACTTCGGTCACTCTGCCTGTTCTATTCCCCACTCTGTCTCTGGTGAATCCTCTCACCCCCCTGCACCCCGGTTGCATAAATAAATAGTCTTTTAAAAAATAATTAGCAAAAGGATGTAAGATGATTAAAGTGACAGACATGGAAAAAGATAAGTTGGTGAAGAGCCAGGCGGGCATTGGGCCTGCATCCCCCGCTGTGGTTCTGTGGCTATTTTGGTCCTGCTGGAGCTGTGGCCATGGCTGGGGCAGCATCAGGCCAGGTCCTGTGCCAGGGAGAAATTCTGGAACGAGAATGTTCATGAGGGTGCGGACCTGGTGAAAACCGAGTAGGAAGTGCCTGCTCTTTCCAAGAGATTTTGGGAAAACAAAAATTGGGAGGTTTTTTTTTTTGAGGGATTTTGGAAAAGAACTTGGGTCCTGTGACCATCAGAGAATTGAGCCCTGAGCTTAATGGTGCCTTCCCAGGTGGGGCAGTTCTCATCTGGGGTCCTTCCTCTTCCTACAGTGCCGCTGCTGGTGACATTCTTACTTCATTTTGGTATTTTTTGCTGGGAAACCAAGAGGCGTTGGTCAGACTTAAACCTCTTGTCTGCCCATCTGGCCGCAGCTGTCAGGGGTGAGAAGGGCCTGGCTGAGGCCCTCCTGGAGTTGCAGGGGGCACACTGGCCAGTGAGTGTTCTGCCCAGTGGTGTGCTCTTAAAGGACAGGAAGTGAGTGTTGGAAAGTGATTTCTGAACAGTTAGGGTGTGGGGGGTGCCCGGGTGCCATTGTTGGGAGTATCTCACGTGGCTGAGAGGCATTTCTGTGCAGGATTCTGAAATAGGGCGCTCCCCTCCCCCAACAAGCAGGACAGGCCATGCAGGTAGATGTTTTGCCTGGGCAAAAAAACACGACAACTGCTATGTCTATGTATTTTTAAATCTTGTTCCCTATTTTTTAATATGTCATAATGCTCATGGCAGCTCAGCGTGACAGAGTTCTGATGCATAAATAAATGTATGTTTAAACTTAAATGCACAAAATGAACATCTTTCTTCTGGTGGCAATATTGAGTTGAAAGCATGTGGAGATCGCTGATGCAGACAGATGTGCCCAGTCTGCACACTTCTTGGTGGGTGGGGCCAAATGTGGGGATTCCAGATTTAGTCATTTTTCTGCAGGATGAGATCCCAGGTCGATTTTAATTTGGTGTTAATGCAGGGGAGGTGTTTCAGTGCCTGGCTGCTCCTTCTGGGGGCCCTTTTTGTCCCTTCACCAGCGTCCAATGTCCTGGAGATAAAAAGGATCTGGACACGCAGCAGGTTCCTGTTACAAACAGTCGGGTGTAGCTGAGTTGGGTGTAGCTGAGAGTTGGCATACGAGGTTGCCTTCCTGTGAAAGGTGAGAAGGAGAAATGAAATTATTTAGCAAAGTGTCTTCTCCCTGGTTTTAGCAGTACCTTTAATATATTAGCAGTGCCTACTAATAATTGTTCATTTGTAGAGGTAAGTTTAAAGTTAATGACAAAATTATATTTGCGAATTCACTGTTGATCTCTCTTTTCAGTTTCTTGTCATTTCATTTTTGATTTGGCAAGTAGTCAGGGTGCTAGCCTCACATACTGAGAATTAAATCAGCCCTTCATGATTGAAATCTAGGAAGTAACATTAATTCTATGGAAGGGCATGAAAGATTGAATATACATTTCAGGCTTTTTACAACTTGTCTTCTAGATCTGTGATTAAAAAAAAAAAGTCATTGATTCATCAACATTGGAGGAAAGCCAAATAAATACCTAATTTTCATCTGAAGAGGGGTGATGCTATACCCCTATATCATGTACAGTGTTGGAAATCAATGTTGTTTCAATGAATAAAAGATGAAGTCAGAAGCCCTGGAATAACTTTGTATCAGTAGTTAAAGCAGATTAATAAAGCAACTAAAGCTAAACAAATATGAATGTTTGTTAGCTGAAATTTTTTTCCATAGTTAAAATATATTAATTTTAACTAAGCAACTAAAGCTAAAATATTTGCTTGTTATAAGAAATAAACTTAATAAAACTAAAATTCAAATGAAATAAAACTTCCTTTCAAAGCTAGTGTTTCCTCGAATATTTACCAGTAGGGTTACAGAGTGACCACACCATTGAAACCCACATTTCCACAACCTGTTTAGAAGCTGCCCAAAAAGTTCTTAAAAGCACTGCATTTTATAAAACAGGTTAGTTCACAGAGATCATGTGAGTGAGTGCAAGCCAGAGGCAAATCTATTTGCATGGGCAGTTCCTTACATTACCACTTTTTTTTTGCATAGAAGAACTGGGGTACAGGCTAGCGGTGTGGGGGTAGGAGGTGAGAGGATTCACCAGAGACAGAGTGGGGAGCAGAACAGGTGGATCCACTGAAATACACTTATGAGGGGAGCAGCAGGGAGACAGGAGAG